AAGGTTTTACCTTACTAGGTGTCATAAAATCAGGAGACACCCCAGATTCGATACCAGTATAAAAATAATAGCTAGTTGATGTGCAATTGTATCTATTACAGACGCAATAACTTTGATGGAAATCCTCCACAATTCTGCGGTTTTCTTAATATCATTAGATTTTAAAATATTTTACAATTACTTTTTATGATATTTTATGAAGTATAAAATTCTTTGTTTTGTTTTGATAATTCCACACAGATCTGCAATTTTCTTAATATCGTTAGTTTTAAAATATTTAACAATATCTTGCGATGATAGTTTATGAAGCGTAAAACTCTTTGTTTTTTTCGGTGATTCCCCACAGATTTACGATTTTTTTTTCTTGAACAAAAACGTTACTCCCACACTAGGATTTTCTCCTATGTCGTGGAGGCAGTTTACAAACATAAATTGCACAAGGACAAACATCCAGACCCGGAACAATTATTTGTAGGCCATACAAATACTTGTTCCGTGCGGGATTCTAACACGAGGCCCCAAGCGCAACAACAAAAAAAAAAAAGAAAAAGAAGAAGATTTACGATTTTCTTAATATCATTAGATTCAAAATATTTAACAATATGTGAATATATGAAGTGTAAAATTCTTTTTTTATATTTTGTTTGAGTAAAATGCTAATGTGTATAGAAAGATTTTTATGTGGTAGAGCCATGCTGCAGCTATATTAGTAGTATAGTTGTGGCACGAATGGGTCGGCTCTACCGGGGAAAGACCACGCTCTCACAGAATACCAGCGTAAAATAGCAGCTTAAAACTGCTGTGTTTCGTATGGTGAGTGTAGAGAACGGTCTCCCGTTCTCTACACTCACCTTTTACTGGAAACTGGAAAAGGGGCATTTCATCTTAGTCCTCGCGGGTGACAACGCATCTGCATTTTGATTCGCAAACGAGGATAGATGTAGATGTCTATGAGTCACAGCAACCACTTACCATCATGTGGTCTGTATGCTCGTTTGTCACCTTATCCTATAAAAAAAAAAACATTTCAACGACATGAGGCATACTATCTTGGCTTTCAAACTTGAAAACGCATCTGCAACTTTCTTTTTTGTTTGAAGTTGGTTGCAGGTGTCTATGGATTGTAGTTCCCCCTTAACATCTGGTAAACTGTACTATCGCTTCTCACTTCAAATTTAAAAAAAAATTAACGACACAACTGGCTATAAGTTGCCACTGTTGGTGTTTAGAGTGGCAGTAGCAGTACATACTCATCTATTTGGCTATTTTATGTCTGGATTAGATCGTCATCAAGAATATAATACCATACCCCTGAGGATTTAAATAGAATACATCGTTACCAGTAAAAGGGGTCTTCGGTTTTCTACCGACTTCAAAAAGGAGACGGTGCTCAATTCGACTGTATGTTTTTTTATGTGTGAACCGATTTCGATGATTCTTTTTTTATTCGAAATCTGGTGCTTCACATGTGGTTCCATATAAATTTTATTAAGGTCTAACCAATAGCTTTTGAGTTATTCTTAATGATTTATGTTGAAGTCGGTTGTACAACATTTTTAATTTTAAATTATACAGAATAATAGGGATAAGAAATTATTAATTTGTCAATGAACAATATTGTACTGTTACAATTGATATAGTGCCTAATGTATTGTATTTGAAACAGAGGTCCTATCTAGAGTTGCAGGAGACTTACAAGAACTGTTACTGATTCCATAAAAAATTAAGATGCATGTCGAACGAACTACAAAAACGTTTAAAACTAACGCCCTATTACTAACAATAATATAAAATATGACCAAACTTTTTTTCTTTAGTTCTGGTCATGTAGAAAGAATGAACGAGGAAATAGTGACAGTTGGGAAGGGATGACCTAAACGAAGTTTATCGACCAAATTGGCGATATACTGAAAATGGGTCAGATTAGGAGTACCGTTAACCGCCGAGCGATATATGTATATATTTATGCGGCCCAACCAGATTAGGAAAATACATTGACACCCCAATAATATAAAATAACTTTATTAAAAAAAAAAACAACAACCAACCATTTTTTTTCACAAAATTTGAATATAAACTGCATTTGTAGAGAAAATACAATATTATTTAAGTAAATGCAAACGACATGAAGTGATTTGAAATTACGCGTACGACATTTGGGTTATAAAGTGAAGATGAAGACGAGTATAAAGCTTATATCGTAAATCGAAATACGCAACATTATCGTCGCTCACAGTATACAAATCAATAATATATAAATAAGCAATAATAATATAAATAAACTTCTCAGAAATTAACGGAGGCGTGTGCCCAGAAATACGAGTACGCTGTGACATTACATTTTTACTTTACTGTATACAACACAGCATTATACTGCTTTTTGACGCAGATATCCTTCTTGATCGTATCGTCACATTTTTCCTACAATTTTAATACACTGCAATGCGTCTCTACCATAAATATATAATATTTTATATTCAATATATTTTTCGTGAATTACATTTTTCACAATTTTTGCATTATTTTAAGCGAGGAAATGGACAGCAGTTCTAAAGTATTTTACGAGAAAATTATAAATTATGGTGAGAGAAAACTATATATTACTAGGTGACCAGACAGATGTTGTTCTGCCCTTTCCAACGACCCTTCCTACAAAAATCCTTAAATGCGCAATAAACATTTTTGAGGGTCATTTAGCGGGATAAAAACTAGATATCTCTCAAGTTGAACCAAAATGCACACAGTGTGCAAAATTTCATTGAAATCAGTTCAGTAGTTTAGGAGTTCATCGCAGACAAACAACGTGACACGTAATTTTTATATATAAAGATATATATAATTATGATGCAAAATCTAAATACCAAAATTGTTAAAAAATTATGTTAAACCTGACACAACTACAACTAGAATTTAAATTTATTTATTTTAAATTTATGCAAAGTAGAATGTATGGATTTTGACAGCAAACGTCAAATTTCACGAAAACTATGACGCAAGGTGACTCGGTCAAAAGTTTTGTGACAAAGGCCTTCTTCTTTAATAGAAACAGAAACTTTTTAATCGATATAGATTATAAATAATACTTATTGAAAGTCACTCTTTTTTAATCATAATTTCTTATTAATTTTATTAATAAGCCCGAGACTATCAATAAACCAAGTTTTGTAATAAGACCGTAAATAAATACTCTTCAAATGACATTAAATCATAATTCACGTGGTACTATTACACTAAAACTAGAGTCAATCAATAGGTACCCTAAATTCATTAAACTTTATATCGTGTTATAAAAAAAATCAGTATAAAGGCAAAACAATAAAGTGTAAAGTAATAAATAACGTTTATGTTGTTCAATGCACGCTCTATCGTTACTCATAGATATTTATCACAACTCTTCGTAGTTTTATCATTTAGCTCAGTGGAAGCACGCATACCACTTTAATAATTAAAACAATATAATCACTTGGAACCATAATGAAAAAATGGTATGACTTTTGAACGGCTTTTGAAGGTTAACAAACCTTTTAAGATGGAAGCATTGTTAATGAATTTTTTAAAACAACAATCACGTACAAGTTTTATAGAAAAAAATTATAATGATAAGAAATTTAAAAGAAATATTTATACAACTGGAGTACAGTGTTTACACTGTGGAAATACGAAATACTCGTATAAAAATAAAATAGGAAACAAGCCTTCATCTCATTTTTGTCGGATAACGGTGCTCGAGAGCTTGTAATTCTGCTTTAGTGTGTTGTGAGTTGGAGTACTTCAAACGTTATCATTTTTACTTTTTTAAAGAACAAAGTAAACTTGAACAAAATACAGTTTGAAATTGAAGAAAATAATCATAATGATGATATCTTTCTGGACGATTTTCTACGATTAAACAACTTTCAGTTATTCGTCTCCACAGAGATTTTTTTCGAGCCGGTACGAATTGGGGCCTCTAAGAAAAGAGGTAGATTATATACGTGGTAGAGCCATGCTGCAGCTATATTAGTAGTAAAATTGTAGTACGAATGGGTCGGCTCGACTGGGGAAGGACCACGCTCTCACAGAATACCAGCGTCAAATAGCAGTTTAACACTGCTGTGTTTCGCATGGTGAATGTAGAGAACCGGAGACCCTTTTTACAGAAAAAGACGCATTCCATCTTATTGCTCACGGCTGACAACGTATCTGCATTTTGATTCTTTATTGAGAGATGTTGATGTCTATGGGTCATAGCAATCACTCACCATCAGGTGGACTGTGTGCTCGTTTTACACCATATCCTATAAAAAGAGCCGATTTCTCCTTCAAAAATTGGCGGATAATTTACTTCTATATATGAGATACGGTGATCGGGTCTCTTTGCTGCAGCCTCACGTCACAAAAGTCTACTCTTTTCTAACAGGCCGGCAATGCTTGTGCTATTCCCCACAGCTGATGCAGGTGTTAGAGCTGTTCATGGATGACCATGGACATTTAAAATTATCATCAGTTAACCCGCATGGTCGTATCGCCGTGTAGGGGCGTAAGAGAATGCACTGCCCCACACCATGCCGTAACGGTTCTAAGAGCTGACGTTGTTACGGCACCTTTAGGATGATATGGACTAGAGGATATTCTTACACCACCACTACACGGTAACGTCTTGTCTAGTGGCTCACGATGACCATGGATATAAATATGCAATATTTAAAATCATCATCAACAACTTTATTACACAATCACAAGCTCACTTCTGATCACAGCCATTAGTTTCTGAATTTTGAATAATGCAGTAAATTTGTGACTCTTAAAGTTTATTGTGTCACGCATAAATTACACATTTGCAAAGTGACCAGTTCGATACCGGATCGAATCGCGACATGTATACAACACCTTAGCGCCACTGAATCATAGATACGTAATTGACTTGCTTACTTTCGTTCTTATCCACTGCCTGACCGTTCACATTCAGTCTGTTGAGAGCGTGCCACCTTTAAGGACGTGTCAACATGAAGCCTGCTAAAATGTTGTTGTGTGCGTTCGCGACGTACTTAGCTTTAACAACAGTGGTCACTTCTAGGTTTATATCGGGAGTAGTGCCTGTACAACAAATTAATTTAGATATGCCTCGAAGTGTACTAAATTCGAATATAGAAAACTTGTTTCGCAATCATGAGAGAGTGAAACGTAATACGATTGTGTACAACAAGTGTCCTGTTGGATATAAAAGGCTACCACCGCCTTTACTATGCGTCACTTGTGAACAGTGAGTGTTTTGTTTATTTATTTTTTATTTTGACTTTAACAAAAGTGCATACATCTTGACCGGTATATACTACATACCTATATATATATATATATCTTTCGATAAAGAATTTATTTACATGCTACCGTTACCGTTACGGTTACCGACAATTAAAGTCCACTGCTGAACATAAGCCTCGCCCATAGATTGTCTCATATTGATATTTTCCATAGTTGCCACGCTTGGAAAGCGGGCTTGCAACCGCAGTTTTTATTTTTTATTTTTAGTCGTATTAAGAAGACGCTGCATCCCATCTCCTGATTTGTTCTCTCTGTCGCCTCTCACGACACCCACGGGATGATATGGGGTAGTTGATATTCTTACACCGCCACTTAAATACTACCTATTATGTTATTAGTATACGTCGGTTGTTTTAAAATGTTTGACGTGGTAGAGCCATGCTGCAGCTATATTAGTAGTAGCTATAGTTGTAGCACGAATGGGTCGGCTCGACCGGGGGAAGGACCACGCTATCACAGAATACAAACGTAAAATAGCAGCTTAACGCTGTTGTGAGACCCATCTTACTGGAAACGAGGCATTACATCTTAGTCCTCACGGGTGACACCACATCTGCATTTTGATTCGTAATCGAGAATAGATATAGATGTCAATGGGCCGTAGCAAGCACTTACCATCAGGTGGACTGTGTACTCGTTTGTCACCATATCCTATAAAAAAAATCCACGGATAGTCATCCATTGAGTTCGATACTACTATTTGAAAAGATGACTATTTATGTTTTCATGTACCATTTTCTCATTGCATTTTTCTTAAAGCGATAAGGATATCGCTTCCAAACCATTGACGTTCGACACATACTATGCATAACGAAACTATGATTAAATTTTCATTAAAATCTATTCTGTTTTTAAAACACTAAATTCGGGTGAAAACACAGCAACTGCTATAGCTGCTGTATTTCGTATGAATAATGGATGCCCTTTTTTACTGGAAACGTGGCATTTCATCTTAGCTGTCAGGGATGTTTATGGGTATTAGCATCCACTTACCATCAGGTGGACTGTGTGCTCGTTTTTCATCCTTATAGTATAAAAATGGATGTTGACACTGAAGACACTCAGTAGCAAATCGTTGAAGTGACAGCGGCCTTATGGTAGGACCTACGTAAGGACTGTAAACTCAGAAAGTTGTGGGTTCGAATCCTTAGACTTTCAATATAGTTTTGACTACTATTACAATAAACCACTCTTAGTATAAGAATTTTAAGCTTACTTTTTTTTATAGAATAAGGGTGACAAACGAGCACACAGTCCACCTGACGGTAAGTGGTTGATGTGGCCCATTACATCCACATTTATCCTCGATTATGAATCAAAATGCAGATGCGTTGTCACCCGTGAGGACTAAGTTGGAATGCTACTTTTCCAATAAAAAGGGTCTCCTGTTCTCTACAATCACCACACGAAACACAGCAGCATTAAGCTGCTATTTGACGCTGGTATTCTGTGAGAGCGTGGTCTTTGCCGGTCGAGCCGACCCATTCGTGTTTCAACTATACCAGAAATATAGCTGCAGCATGGCTCTACCACGTAAGAAACTTGTTAACGGAAGTATTACTAGTGTTAATAGCCACTTTTCTTAATAGCTGTACAATTTTTTTTATTAAAACTACAAAATCGCAGTCTCTAGTTTTTTTTTTTTCATTAAATATGATTTTAAGCCATGCCAGTTATAAAATTTTATTATGTTTATAAGAATAGGTCAACCTTTACCTAATGCATTTTTTTGATAAGGAACTTAGCTACCCATTGGTTACACATAACTAAATTATATTATTAACAGCCCGGTTAACCTTCAAACGATGCGATCCGTTTTTCATCTCACAACAACATTGCCATAAATTGTCAACAGTTTGTCTCAAAAAGTTATAATTAACACTTAGTATTACATTGCGTGTAACTTAAATCATAAAAAACTTATTCAATGGGACACTGTTAAAAGGATATTCTTTTTATAAAAAAATCAGCACAATCAGTTAGCTGAGTTCTTTTCTTAAACAAGAAAAAAGCGCTTCTTATAAAATTGTGCCTTTTACAATGTATTTCACTCAGACTTTCTTAGTGTTTTAAAATAGCGAATCTAGGTTATTTTACATCTTAAATAATTTAAAACAAAGAACAACGAAACACTCCTAAAAACGTAAAATTTCACACAACAGCCAATATTTAATTAAACTCATTACAAATTCAAATTTTGCAACATCAACTATATCGTTATCGATGTTATTTAATGGTAATAGAATGCAATCATTCGAGTATTTTTAAAATCATTCGAATTTGAAAAGGTCACTATGTGGTACATAATAGTTGTGTTTTAATTTTATGTACGGTATTCCTTGTGTAATATATGTTTGTAAACTGCCTCCACGATACAGCAGAAAATCCTAGTGTGGAGGTGACGTTTTTTTAAAGAAAGAAAAAAAAGAAAATCAACCATTTATTACATTTTATCTGTCTGTCTGTCTATCCAAACTAAACTTTGAAGTGGATAAACCGATTGTGATAAAACTTTACAAACTGGTAGACCGCAATTCCAGGGGAATCTAGGCTACATTTTATCCGAAAAACTTAGTTTTTTTTTTGGGAAAACGAAGAATTCGTCCAATAAATGGTATTTATAACGCCACATTAATAGATTCAGGTGAGTTGCTTAGTTAATAGTATGACCGACCGCGTAAAAAAATTACTGAAAAGAGAAAAATTCAAATAACGACGTGGGCCACGACGAGGAGCACGTGCTAACGCTTACTAGGCGCGTGTATATATCCTATGTATCCTGCAAGGTCGAAGTAATAACTAATATAAAAGTATAACTGTTGTATTTTGTACGGTGCAAGCAACGTCCATTGGCCGCGGTTAGCATTTTACACGCCGCATAAAATTTGATTTTATGTTATAATATCACTACACAACCGTGGTAGCTCAAGGCTGTCCGCGAGCAATCCGGGGTTCGAGTCCCACCGGCACCAATGAAATCGTTAATTACAATTTTAAGTGCTGTGATTTACCACGTGCTGTACAGTGAAGGAAAGCATTGTGAGGAAACCTAAATGTCTTAGAAAAAAAAATCGAAGACATTCCTCCAACACGCATTTTCCTAGAGCTGAAACTTTCTCGGAAATGAGAGGAGGCCTTTGCTCAGGAGTGGGACGTAGTAGGCTGTAACTTTACCACTACACGTAAAACTACGGCTACGTGCACTCACATCAATCGATTATTTTATACTTATCATTTATCATTAGCAATTAGTTTAAAAACAACAAAATTATTATCTTAGCTAGACCAATACATTTAACACGGTTAAGGTTGTTTCTTGTGGCAGACAAATTGCACGATCAGACGTCGCACTACACTATGTCATTTCCACACTTAAGAAGAATCCAACGACACCTCATATCTTAAAACCCATCAAGCCGCTTAGGCTATAGAATTTGCCAAAGAAAACGACATTTTTTCATTTAATATAAGCCAGGGCTTGACCACAATCCCATCGGGTGGAAATTGGTGATGAAGTCCTACATGTTTTTTTATAACGGGCTTTACGGCTCTGGGTTCTAGCCCTTCTGAGAAGTCCTAGGTGGTAAATCGTACTGTATAGTAAACACACTGTCCACCTTCTCTGTAGTATCTAAAATAATAACCTATACTTATTTACTACCATTTCCTATGTTTCAAAATGCTGATCATAATTGCCTTTCATCATTATTGTCTTTTCTGCCGACTTCCGAAAAGGAGACGGTATTCAATTCGACTGTATGTTTTTTATGTGTGTTACCTCATAACTTTTTATTGGGTGAACCGATTTCGATGACTCTTTTTTTATTTAAAAGCTGGTACTTCTCGTGTGGTCCCATATGAATATGATCAAGGTCAGACCAATATTTATTGAGTTATTCTTAATAACTTACATTAAAGTCGGCTGTACAAAATTTTAAATTATTATTATAGTTTATCGTACTTACATTTATATCTATACGTGTATATGTGTTAATATGTGTATGTACGTATGTGTGTATAAGTTTACAATGCATAATATGTTCCTATCGGTATAGTATGTCAAGTAGTGGATTTTTATTACGCTATTGTCTTATTTCTGTAACCGCCTACTCCTATATCACTGCCCTAAGATTGACTGGAAGAGATTAATTTTATATTAAATATTTTATACTTTAGGAATAGTCTCTTATAAAATTATGAGAAAAAAAAATTCTTCCTTAGGTGTAGCAAAATAGAATATGAAGGTTTAATGTATATATTTGAACGACATTGAGACTGTGTTGTTCCTTAATCTAGTGAGCAGGGTAAAAATAACTTTTTAAAGTGAAAGCGGAATAATTCACATATTTTTTATAGGATAGGATGACAAACATGCACACAGTCCACCTGATGGTAAGTGGTTGCTGTGAACCATAGACATCTAAATTTATCCTCAATAAAGAATCAAAATGCTGATGCATCGTCACCCGTTAGGACTAAGATGGAATGCCACTTTTCCAGTAAAATAGGTTTCCGGTTATTTACACTCCCCATACGAAACACAGCACTGGTATTCTGTGAGAGCGTGCGTGCTTACCCTTACCCGGTCCCGTCCTTCCCCGGTCGAGCCGACCCAATTGTGCTACAATTATACTACTAATATAGCTGCAGCATGACTCTACCAGAATTTATAAAGAATACAATAATTTTATATTCTGAAGTCGGGTATTTGATTCTTCTCTATAATACGTCTTCCCATCGACTTCAGAATGTGAAACTGTTCTTATAAATTGTGTAACGTTCGATAAAATATATGTTAATAAAATGCTTATTCTGGGTTAATCGGGTTCGACATATGACTATAATATATATGATGTTGCTCTAAGCACATAGTAGACTCAAGTTGACGTCTTAATATTTTCAGTAGTTGGTTTCGTGAATATCCCCAGCATATCAAAGGTTTTTATTTGCCTACTTAATATCTTTTGTATGGAATACTGTAGGTATGTAACTTAAATGATATGAAAGTATTAATGAAGAGATTATCTGAACTACCAAACTTAATTACACATAAAGTTTGTTAGAATATCAAACTTGATGGAAAATACAATAGGTTCGTTTACTACTAATTAATTTTAAGTAATTTGAGACCTTCTCATGACCTACTTGAATATTCATTCCGATTTCCGACCTAGATTTGATCACTTGACAACTTTTGCCTTTGCACTAAATTTCACCGTGATATAACCGTTCATGAAGACATAAAATCAAATTGTTCTTGGAATTTTAAAACACATACATGATTAAAATAAGGAATAAGGTAAACATTACCAATTATGAATGAGATGTAAATGGATTCGTGGAATTGTTTTTCCAATAATCGTCTAAATATGGACAACATCGAATCTTTAAAACTCGTTATAAAGTTCACACTTCATTCATTTATTCAATACAGTATATCCAACTCCATTACATAACATAGTCCTCCTCCATAGATTTCCTCATAGAGGGAATAGCTTCTCATAGTATTTTTATAGGATAAGGTGACAAACGAACACGCAGTTCACCTGAAGTTAAGTGGTTACTGTAACCCATAGATATCAAGATCTATGCTCAATAAAGAATCAAACTGCGTTGTCACTCGTAAGAACTATCACGTTGCTGATCCACTCCCATCATCCATTCATCGACTTCCTGCACATCTTACTAGTTCGTCACTCACATTACACTAACTAATGTATTTTTATCGAACATTCTAATAAATATCTATATCAGTAAAAATTAAGCTCCGGTATGGCACCAAGAACTCTAGCTGCATTTTTCTGCTAAATCACTACACTGATCCTTTGTGCGATAAGAATCAGCCCTGTAACCAGCGGCGACGATTGGTCGCGTATACGTTCCTTTGGAAACTTCACCGGTCAAGAACTGATAGATAGTCCTACAACAAAAGGCACAAATATATAACCATAAGTATCAGAGATTTATTTGAGCCATTTACCCAGTTAGTACCCGCCTTTGATTCTGCACCGGCCTTAAATGATATAGTAGGTATATGAGCGGCCGCCAAAGTGTCTGAGCACGTATCATCTCACACAAGGTCTAACGGGATTATACCGGAAAAAATATTTAGGATTATAGTTCCTTATCATTCAGCATTTTATATTAGACCATTCCTTTTGTTTTGTTTTTTTTAATGGTTGTTTCTGTAGTATATACAGCTGATTTAAAATATGCACTTAAAATATTTTGTTATGTCTAAAAAAACGTAGATTTTAATAAACTGACGTTATGTTTCATTGATCAGGTTAGTCGCAATTATTTATACATATCCTATAAATATTTATAAATGTATATTATATTGCAATTATTACATAATATTTTTTAATGATTAAATCTTAGCCCATAGACATCTACATCTATCTTCGACGAGGAATTAAAAATGCAGTTGTTTTGTTATCCCAGAAGACTAGAGAACTTACTCCCTTGAGAACGAAGGTGAAATGCTTCGTTTCCAATAATAAGGGTCTTCGGTTCTCTACACTCACAATATGGTTCGTACACAGCAGCATTAAGCTGCTATTTTACGCTGGTATTCTGTGAGAGCGTGGAACTTCCCGGTTAAGCTGACTCATCCGTGCAGCGTGTTCTACTTACTACCTATAAAAATCTTGACTCTCTTAGGCTTCAATATATTAATAAGTTTTTAAATTTTAATAAAAACAATTTTGTGAATTTTTAATAAGTAGGAATAATTTTACCAATTACGTTTAGTATCGCCCAAACATAATAAATCAGCCAGGAGAAAATAATTTTTATCGTGTTTAAACGCAATTGAACCTCTTCTTTATAGAATATTTGTACATCTATTTATTTTGTCCACGGATACCTACAGGTGGGGACCTGGTGACCTAAGATACAGGTTTTACCTAGTTTAGGCACCTGTTTTTCACCTAACAATAGTATTGTATCAGATGTAAGCACATATTTTTTGTTGTCTTCTAAATGTATATTGTTGGTGAAAATAAATAAATAAATAAATAAAATAGAATATTTGTCCTAATCTATGATATCACTACATCATCAAGTAAAATCGATAATTCAATAAAAGTTGTATACCTTTTATCGGAAGTGAACACTTTATGACGATAAGTAAATATATTTGAATCATAACGCCGTTTAGTAATGATGACAAATACAGCAAATATTTGACTACCGATTAATGTTAATGATAATAAATAAATGGTAGTAAAATATTGAAATGATTTTATGCTATAAAAAAGTTGCTTCATTAAAGTATCTCTCTGTCATAGATCGGAACAAAAATAAAGTTTATAAGTTAAGGTATGATAGCCCAGCTTTCGTAGGTAGCTCAGAGGTTAACCGCTCGCCGTAAATATCACAGCAACTCGGATTCGATCAACGCCGGCACCAATGAAAGTACCTATATGTGCAGTATCTTTCAAAGTTGGCTGTAGCTTGTATCGTTCAACGATGTAAGAACGTTGAACAGCTCAGTTCCACCAAAATTTTGGATGTTGCAAAGCACTCGCTACGACATAATGTAATAATAAATTAAAATAAAACGCAATAACATTCTGAACTGAATGATATTTAACAACTTGCAGCCATTTGCCCATATCAAAACTAACTTTAATAAGACCAACTAACCTTGAGCAATTTATTTTATTAAAGTTTACTTTGTATAAGTTAAGAAAAAAGAAATAAACAAGTAATCTAGAGGCAAGAAACTAAATATACTACGATTTTTATCACCAACTTTAATCTTGGACAAAACATATTATATTAAGTACCTACTACTATTGAAAACAGGATAGCAAAAATATTTGTTTGTTTATATAAATTTGTTTTTGAAACTTACCCGAAGGAAGGCACAAAGTGGACAAAGTGTACACACACGTATACATTAATAATTGAAACAAATTGTAGTAATGGAATTTTAAATTGTTCACATCAAAATGATGTTATAATTAGCCTATTTGTCTTTCAGGTACCAACTGCTGACGGGAGAGTCCTGTTGAAAAGTTCAAAGTCAAGCAGCGACACTGAAGACTGATTTACATACGCCAATTTATTCAATAGCCAATATTTAATCTTATTTATTACATTAGTATAAGCAATATAACATAAGCTATGTTAATATAACAATGAAGTAGCATTAAATAATATAATATATAATTGTATATAAAAAACGGAACTACTTCTGGATGGAGTAAATAATTTAGACTCGGAATGCTCTATGTGTTTCGACAGGATATTTATTAATTATTACACCGGCCATCTGGTATTTAAATGTCTCTGTTTTATGATCCACTTTTGATAAATCCGATCGTAAATAAAAGCATTTACAAGTATACATCGGCTGCTATGACTTTACTTTTTTGTTTTTGTTTGATTACTTTGTATCAACACTCTTTAAAATGGGTTCTTTAAGATGGAGTCCCAACTATCAGTCGATTACCAGAGCATGGTCAACCAGCAAGGTTCAAGTGAGTCCGGCATTGGATCCCTCACACTTTATATCTATTTAGTTAGTTACTATTATTTAAAGTACTTGCATCAATTCTATGCAACGCTTGATTTGTTGTCAGCATCCGAAGCCGTTTAAAATAATATAATAAAATACTGTGTCTGTGACAGTACCAGATTATAAAAGTTTGATGTCTACCAGATTTTTAATATTTGATGAACCATTGAGAAACTGCAATCATAGGTTATTACAATAATCTCTAACATTGTTATTAAATTACTTGTATTATAATATAAATTAAACAATGGCCGTGCGTTGCCATTGTTTAATTTGTTGTAATATATAATATGTCACAGCCATCTAACTTAATTAGCTTTTATTAACTAGGGGCCTGAATGATATTCAGCCGATGCGTCTATAATACAACATTGTACCCATCTTGTAATGTCAGTGACGTTTAGTTAAGGTGCGGCTGGGGTGAACCACATGAAGCCGTGTACATTTATGTAATATAACACATAGCGCATAAATCACCCTATTAATTTCAATCAACAAAACTGACGGTCTTAAAATTAAACGGGGTTGTATAGTAAAAAAAAAACTAGGCTGTTAACTAACTAGTTGGCTGCGATATATACATTATAAGATTCATAAATAGAATCTGGAAGAATGAAACTTCATTTCGGATAGAGTAATGTAATTCAGAGCGGTGAATAATTTCTGTAGCCTATGATATTACTCTGTGTTTGATATTGATTTGATTCTATAATCATCCATGAATACTTGTCGTAGTTATTTATAGTTGCAACACTAAAATACGATGGATTTAAAATTTATTATTTGAAATAGATGGCACAATGATTGGTGCAATTATTAATAACGTATGCCATGACTAAAAATGTGTTTGCGCAAGTTATTTAAGGCAGTGTACTTGGGAATTGTTAAAAGAACGTTCCAGAAGGATATTAGTGATGTAACAAGTGAGCTTTAAATCTGTAAATTATAAGTAAGAATAATAGACTAAGGCATTGATTATTGTTTATGATTTTCATAAATAATTATTTATATTTATGTTGAATAAAAATGTATTGTATTCTATTCTTAAGTAGTCTTTGAGCCTTATTGTGATAAAGCATAGAAGTAGGAAGGAGAAGACTTAGCATGCCTATAATAATTCAAACTCTTTACTATTGGGTTTTCTAATAACCTCAATATATTAAAGTAAATAACATCATGACATGCCACCATTCAAAGATGATGATGAGATATGAAAATTAATATATTATTGATTGTAAGGTAAAAATGTATTATTTATTCTTAATTGTATTTTTGTTTGAGTTTTGCATACCCTACGGATTTTACGAGGCAGCATTTTGGGAAAGCGGGCAACACCGCGCTTTAACTACAATCCTTATCCTCATCGTGCTCGTATAGTGCAAATTTATACCGTATTATTACAAAAAGTGGTTTATAATTAGTCTCAGGTTTAAATTAGTCTGTTTTAGAAAAAAGTCTATAATATATAATATAGAATAAAATATGCGAACTAAAATAAAAAGTAAATGTCAAATTTTGCGAAGACTGTAGCGATAGTGCCGCGGAATATCAATCATAAGATTCTTTTGATTGATATTTGCCAGGTAATTCATAACGAACAGACATAATATCATGATATCCATTCATATTGGGCGGTAAATTCAGAATCGTCATGCCAGTGGTACTGACTCTATTTTTCCGTACATATCATATCTGCGATCATTTTCAAGTATTTTCTGGCAGTTAAAGCAATTTAAAATGAGATTATTATTAAATATGTTTTGTCGCGAATTCGCTCCAAACCGCGGAAGCATGTGCCATTTTTGCTAAATGTAATTCCTCTGTGTTTGACATTGATTTGCTTATTATCTAATATTAATATTAATCATTACAAAAAATTATGTCAGTGACCATTTTAAATAATTTTTCTACGTGTTTGTACATATATTATTATCAGTTAAAATAATTGTTAACATATTTATTGTGTGGTTATTGTAATAATAATGTTATGCCAGTGTTGCCATTTTTATAGGTAATAAAATATTATACCAACATGAATTTGAATTTTATTTTTAAAGAGTGTATGCACATATACAATCCAATGTATTGAAGTTTACAAACTTTATACATAAATCTTCATATTTAACTAATGAAGGGTATATTTACTATGTATGTATGTGTGTGTATGTACGTGCGAGCGTGCGAGTGAAAGTGTGTGTGTGTGTGTGTGTGTGTGTGTGTGTGTGTGTGTGTGTGTGTGTGTATGTGTGTGTGTGTGTGTGTGTGTGTGTGTGTGTGTGTGTGTGTGTGTGTGTGAGAGAGAGAGAGAGAGAGTGTGTGTGTGAGTGTGTGTGAGTTTAACAAAGGGAATTTTTAATATTGGCCAAGTTTTATATAAAACTCATCAAAGCAATAAGCTATGCGTATGAACAATTACTGAAATAGTATTTTTTTTTAATTTACCATTCCTTAGGTAATCTCTCTAACTCTTAGGTACTCTATTTTTAGATAAAATACCTAATATCAGATATCTTAGGTAATTTACCTAATACAAGTATCAATGTATATAATGTTCTATTATAGTAGCCAGAAGTCAAGCAGGAAAATTTTTAGACAACTTCCACACAATCAATTGCAATTTAAAAAAAGAATGAGTGAGTCGCCTGAAATTAAATGAGTGTCATTAAACGTTTTAAATCATAAAAAGCTGTAAACTAATCTGCTCGCCCACAGCTGGTTACAGAATACCTCGCAATAATGGGAAAATTTTAGGGCAGGATGAGTCCACATTTACTGACGGATCCGACATGTCTTCGTCACTTTTATAATTCCTCAGGCGTGCAGATATAAGGTGAAATGTCAGAAGAAATGCATGTAAAAAATTTCGTCAATGGGGATCGACTAGCTTTGCTGTATATTATTAAATTTGATGCGTGCGCTTATACCTTGAGAAACAACGGGCCCCATGGCCGTTGTAGTTGTAAGGGAACCTTTTTAAATTAATAAATAATGAAATTATCGTTAAAAATTAACAAATAAAACTATTTAATGAAAATCAATAAAGTAGACAAACTGGACTATAGAAATCTGCCTCTACACTCAATTAAGAATTAAATACAATTATATGTGGTAGAGTCACACTGCTACTGTATTATGATTGTAGCACAAATGGATCGGCATGAACAGGGACGGAATACTCTCTCACGAAAACCAGCGTAAAAAACCAGCAACTTTATGCTCCTATGTTTCGTATGGCGAGTGAAGAACATCGGACACCATAATTAATAGAATCAGGCGTTACTTTGCGGAAATCCATTATATAAAAGCTTTTACAAAAATTTACTTCGCAAATATCCGCGTTATAAAATAAAATGATGTGTCTTACCTAGTATTAGCGGGAGGTGCTTCTTCATACTAGGTAAGACACATCATTTTATTTTATAACGCGGATATTTGCGAAGTAAATTTTTGTAAAAGCTTTTACATCGGACACCCTTTTTACTTGAAACGAGGCATTTCATTTAAGTCCTTTATGGTGACAGCCCATCTGCATCTCAATTCTAAATATGATAAATGTGACGTATATGGGCCTCAGAATTCACTTACCATCAGTTAGCCTGCATGTTTGTTAGTTCCCCCTTATTCTATAAAATTCAGATGAGAAAACCTCCCAGGGATTAAGATGTAATGCCTCATTACCAGTAAAAAGCGTCTTCGTTTCAGTTTTTTTTTATAGGAGAGGGGGGAAACGAGCATGCGGCTCACCTGATGGTAAGTGACCACCGCCGCCCATGAACAACCGCAACACCAGGGGAACCAGGGGAATCGCATATGCGTTGCCAGACTTTTAAAAAGAATTAAGGCTCTTTTCTTGAAGGTCCCTAAGTCGTATCAGTACCGGAAAAATCGCTGGTGGTAAACTATTCCACAAGGAAGTTGTGCAAGGAAGAAAACGTCTTCTAAATCGCACAGTGGTGGACCGCAAATCAGCCAGATGGTGTGGCTGGTATTGGGAGTTCTGCCGCAATTTGCCTTCCCTCAATTGCGTGCACTATCCCTGTGACCAGTAATCCCAGACACACTACTCCCTACGCCACACACTATGAAAGACACACCACTGTCTATAATACGACACGTGCTTCGCCTCTACACGAGGCGTCCTCAGGTGAAGTAGACTTTGCGGTGGCTGACCGCTAACTTCGGCAATGATTCACTTAGCATTTTCTCACTATTTAACAATGTTACTACTCGTAAGTTATTATCAGCGTTGTTCTTATCATTCGTGCTGCAGTCTTGATACATTGTGGCGTAGCTCTACCACGTAATAATAATATTAATTTGTTGTATTTGTTATAACCGCAAACGTATATAAATGAATAATCCTTTATTTTTGTTAATTTCTTCTAAAAAACTGCAATTGCATATTACCTATACGTAAATCATTTTCGGAAAGATTTGAGAAATTCAAGATTTGAGAAATTCAAGATTTGAGAAATTAAGAACCTCAAAACGTAA